TAAGCAGGAATAAGATCTCTGTAATGGACAAGGTTAGTATTTTTAATATAGTGTAAAGACAAATGTATATTGCTGGTCTTTGACCGTAATAAAGACCTTACTTCCTGCTTACTGTGCAGATTCAACTTAAAGAAACATTATCCACAACTACAGAAACCGTCTTCAGTCTCTGCTTTAAAACAACCTATTTTAGTATAAAATTAAAGCAGAAAGATGATTAGCATTCATTATATGTAAAAACAAAAACTGCCATTAGAGAAGGAATTTGTAAAATGTCATTTTTGGTTTAGTGTAAGGTTTTGAGGAAATGAATTGGGTAAAATAGGGATAGAATTTGTTAACTGATATGACTGCAGTGTTAGAAGATCTTTTTTTTTGCTTTAAATTCCATGAACTATCCTTTGCCTTTTTACTGTTATAGTAGTGGCCCCCAACCTTTTGGGTGCTGGGGATCCGTTCCTTGGAGAGTGTTTTTTCCACAGATGGGAGGGGGGAAAGGGTTTCACACAGCTTGGATCCCACCTGTGGGCTTCACTTGCTTGTATAGACCGGTTCCTATTGGACCACAGACTGGTACCAGTCCTCGGCCCAGAGTTTGGGACTCTGTTGTAGCATAGCATTCTTTTCTGATATTCTCCTTATGAGAAATAGATGTTATTAATTGTACTTCTCCAAGGCTTTCTTGTACAGATATTAACAGAATTGGTGGAACACAATTTCTGTAAGGAGACCTGTAATGCAGAAACTCAGACAAGTTCAGCACTTTACAAAGAATCTCTTGGTAAGTTTAGTACTATAATTAACTTATCCTCAGGCAACTCAGCAAATTATCTATGTTGCTTCAGTGGATGTGTGTATATTCTTTAAAAGGATTTTAGATGAGGGCCAAAACCTCTTAGGCATTTTAGTATTGAAATGTGTATCGGTACCTCTCAGTCCTCAATTACATTTGCCTTATTTTTGTTAAACATGGATATATTACAGTTTGTATATGGAGGTTATGTTCCAATAGAAGAGAATATCTGTAGCTCAGGATTGAACTGTGTAATCCTTGATACGCTTTGAACTTGGTGGTTTGCTTGTAGACATTTCATTACCAACCAGGTAACATCAGTGCTAGCGAGTATTTAGTTTGCTCCATGTTTCCGTACAGTAGGTTGCAAGTTATTGTATGTAAAAAGGGAGCAAATCCCACATTCCCCAGCACTGATAGTGTTACCTAGTCAGGTAATGAAACATCTGCAAACAAACAACCAAGGGCTCCACAATTATCTTTCAGGGAACACCAAGGGCTCCACAATTATCTTTTATTAATGTTGACACTGGGTGATGCTTTTCAGATCGTTTTTTACAGGATGAGTAGCAGAATTATTCTTCTTGCTCCCTTTGTCATATACAGTATATGGTACTGTAAGATTAAATCATGGCATCTGATGATCCCCCAAACATCTATTTCTCTGAAGAATTCCATTGCTCAGCTTCTCATCTGTGCATTAAGCCAGTTTTCTAAATTTGTCTGCATTTTAAGTTGTTTTCAACCTCTGTATCACACTACATTATATGAATATAAGAAGAAATAGCAAAATAATTTGGTTTCATTTTCTTCTCCTTTTGATATTTTTTAGTAAAGACTTTTATACCTCAGTAATGGAACACTTCTCTACATTCAATGTAGAGATATTTTAGACTGTGATTGTCAAAAAGTTATACCATGTATGGGCTCTGGGAAGTCGGGGGGAGGGAAGGGAGGTGGGGATCTAGGGGGAGGGGGGGAAATATAAAAA